CATAATACTTTAATGTGCATTTGTATACAGGTTTTTGTGTGGATGTTTATTTCATCTTCTTGGGTGGATACCTAGGAGGGGAATTGCTGCAATATAAGTTCATGTTTAATGTTTACAGAATGTTCCAACCCATTTTCCAAAGTGATTATACAGTTTTCTGTTTCCATCACCAGAAATCCTTTCCATCTGCAACCCATTTCATTTCTCTTAGCAATGATTTGTGAAGTTCTGTTTGTAAGTCCTGCATCTATTTGCTAAATTTATTCCCAAATATTTTATTATCTTTGATTATATTGTGAATGGAGTTTTTTTTTTTTTTTTTTTTTTTTTTTTTTGTCTCAGTTTCATTCTTTCCAATCTGGATACTTACATTTTTTTAAATTTTATTTTCATTTGATTGTACAATGGTGAATATATGTGGCAACTATTATTTCCGCCGTTTCCACCCAGTGCCCAATTTTAAAGAGAAAGCACTGACTCACTGTTGAATATGATGTTAGCTATGGGCTTTTTGTAGGTAGACTAGATCAGGTTGAAGATTTTGCCTCCTGTTCATTACTTTTTTAGAAGACTTTTTAAAAATTATGAATGGATGTAAGATTTTGTCAAACGCTAATTCTGAATCTATTTGAGATGGCCATGTGTTTTTTAGTTTTCTTCTAGTAGTATGGTGTGTTGGATTGATTATTCTTGGACATTAAACTAACCTTACATTCTTAGGATAAATGCCATTTGGTCATTGTGTAGTAATTTTATAGTATGCTCTGGAATTGATTTGTTAATATTTTGTTAAGGAACTTTTGTACTTATGTTTCTGAGTGATATTAGCCCATACTGTTTTGTTTTATTTTCTTATGATGTTTTTTCATTGGCTTTGGTAGCAGTATACATAGATTTAAGTGGTGTTTCCTTCTCCATTTCCTGAAAGTTTGTGAAGAATTGGTATTATATGATTTTAAATAGTTGATAGAATTTCCCCAGTGGGGTGCCTAGGTGGCTCAGTCAGTTGAGCATATGCCTTTGGCTCAGGTCATGATCCCAGGGTCTTGGGATTGAGCCCTGCATCTGGCTCTCTGCTCAGCAGGGAGCCTGCTTCTCCCTCTGCCTCTGTTTGCTGCTCCCCCTGCTTATGCTCTCTCTCTCTCTGTCAAATAAATAAATGAAATCTCTAATCTTTAAAAATAAAATATCTCCAGAGTTCAAAAAAAAAATTCCCCCAGTGAAGGCATGTGTGCATGAGATTTTATTGGTTGCGAGATTTTTAATTACAACTTGATTTTATTCATTTGTTTAAGGTCTATTAAGGTTTTGTATTTCTTTTAAAGGTCATTGTTGGTAATCTGTGTCTTTCTAGGAATTTGTTCAGTTCATTTATGTTGACTAGATTTTTGGCATATATTCATAATATTCCTTATAGTATTTTAACTCATTTATGATAAACAGTGATTTTTTTTCCCTTCATTCCTTGTTTTTGGAATTTGGCCTTTACCTTTTGTTTTCTTAATTGAAACCGTACTTGAAAATACTACTAATATGGCAATTCTAACTCACTGACTCAGAAAGCTAAGGGAGCTCACTGAGATATCATCAAGGGATGGGGAAAGAAAATCTAACAAAACATTTTTGAAGGCATAGGGGATAAAAACAAAATGATTTCTTGATTATATTATGTGAGCCAAAAACTATTAATAAGCTGGTTATTAAATATAAGCAACATGCATCGATAATAATTGGAATTTAAATGATTTGACTACAAAGAACACAGCAATTAGTCAGGTAAGATTTTGGTTATTTAAAATTTACTAAATTTAGGGATGCCTGTGTGGCTTAGTTGGGTAAGCCTCTGCCTGTGGCTCAGGTCATGATTCCAGGGTCCTGGGATGGAGCCCCACATCGCATCGGGCTCTCTGCTCACTGGGGAGTCTGCTTCTCCCTCTCCCCCTGCCACTCCCCCTGCTTCTGCTTTCTCTCTCTCTCTCTGACAAATAAATAAATAAAATCTTTAAAAAATAAAATAAAGTCTACTAAATTTATATTTGAAACTGTCCTCTACATATTCAGTGATAATTAGTTTCTACATGGCAAAAATATTGGTAATAATGCTCATGCTAAGTCATGATTAAACAAATTTCATCATCGCTGTCCCAAATACAGATTAGATGAGTCAGAATAAAAAGGGTCTTTATTTCTTCAATGTAATTTTCTGAATTATATGCATAAATGAAAAAAATCTATATTACTCTAACAAATTTTATCCTCTTGTAAAAAGTTGAGTGCTTAAGTACAGGAGTTTTGTGCTCGCTTCGGCAGCATATATATTAAGTACAGGAGTTTTTGAACAGAGATGTTACTGCTTCCCCAGTTGGCTTGTCCCTCTGCCCCTCCCCCACTCATGCTCTTCCTCTCTCTCAAATAAACAAATGAAATCTAAAAACAAACAACACGCACAAAACTCTCCTCTTTATACGGCCTCAGGACTTGTACTTTATATATAAAATGGAAAGCGGAGACTGATTTTTATGTTGGCAGAACCTGAATAGGCTAAGTAATTCACATGAATTCCCTAAGCTAATCTGTAATACTAATTTGTTGTCTATTTTTTCAATAGCTAAATAAATTTCAGTTATTTTCTAATGCACGATGTATACTAGAGTTTAAGAGCATGAACTTGGAACCAGAACCCCATCTTATTACTTCCAACTTGTAATTTTTGGGAATCACATTCCCCTTCTGTTCCTCAGAGTTGCACATACAATAATGGGGATAATAATGTCTATAACAGAGTTACTGTGAACCCTAAAAGAGTTAATTTGTAAGCATTACAAATATTAGGCCTAGTTTTTTTTTTTAATTTTGTCGTTATTTTTTATAATTTCCAGGTTTTTCTTACAAAAGTAAATCAAATTTAGCCAATTTTTTTACTTTTATCTACATATTAGGCTATAGGAGTAATTAACACCAAAAATAGATACAGAGCTAGATAACCTCCAAGAAGTGCACTTTGTAATAAGAGTGATGTAATTTACTAGAGGTGATCTAACATTTTATAAAACACCATCACTTATTTAATATAACAAACCTATGAATTTGGGACTGTTAATACTGTATGTTTCATACAAAGAAACCAAATTAAAGGTAGATTAAATAACTTCTGAAAATAGCCGACATTTTCTACCAAATAAGATAATTCCCTGTGGCCAATATTAATTTTTTTGCCAATATTAATTTTTATTTTTTTATTTATTTTATTTATTATTTTTTAAGATTTTATTTATTTATTTGACAGAGAGAGACACAGCGAGAGAGGGAACACAAGCAGGGGGAGCGGGAGAGGGAGAAGCAGGCTTCCCGCCAAGCAGGGAGCCCAATGCGGGGCTCGATCCCAGGACCCTGGGATCCTGACCTGAGCCGAAGGCAGACGCTTAACGACTGAGCCACCCAGGAGCCCCTACCAATATTAATTTTTAAATCATACTTTCTGCATGCTTCTCCAAGATTACCAATACACCTTCTATAAGCACATCCTCTATTACAGAATGTACCATTCATCCCCACTTTGTGTTATCTGTGTGTGTACTGGTACACAATGATGGATTTCACTGTGTCATATGTGAATATGTGAACATTTATTATGATACTGTTTATAGTGCCTATTATTTTCTAATAAATTTTAGCACAGCAGGGTAGTGGAGAGTTGGCAGAGTCAGTCATGTGTTGAACTTTTGTATGCTTCTTTGAAAGAATCCAGATAGAGGTCTAAAAGAATACTAACATGAATCATCAGCAGCACTGCAGATGAAGGATTTAACACATAAACCAATCAATAGAGAAGGTAGGGTGGCATACACATGGTATTTGGATTTCCATAGTCCTGGGTTGGAATTTTAACTTCCCATTCCCCTAAAGGTGTGACTCTGGGCAGGGTCCTTCAACAATTTGGGGCAGTTTATCCAACGGTAAAATTTCATATGGTAAAATTTTATAACAAGAAAGGTGAACTCTGCATTGCTATGCCTTACTAACTTAATTTTTTTTGAGTCTTCTTCAACAAATGACAGGGAAGCAGGTAATGTATCAAGGGCTGGGGCTAAAACTTTTGATGGGATTTGGCACTTTTTCAAAACAACACTTTTGTTTTTTTAATCTACTATAGGAAGAAAATCCTTATTCTTTCTTTTCTTATCACCAGCAAGTCATTTCAGTGTGTATCCTAGCTTTCCATAATCTGTGTCTTCTACTTCCTTAAGTCTGTTTTTTAAAACTTTATTTATAAAAGCCCCTTCTCCTTCATTTTCCTTGTAATTTATCATCCTTTTCAGGAAGAATCATTTTGAAATAACTTTTTAAATATGTAGATGATCCTACCCAATAAAGTTTTAATTATATGGACACAACATAGAAAACATGTTTTATCCAGTGAAAATTATCACTATTATTGAAGGCTGGTTCTGTGCGCTCTGGTATGATGACTACATGTTTGATAAAATACTAGCCAGATGGTTGACTTTAACTTTGGTGGTGAGTGAATTTCAGGATGAACACTGGTATGGGGCACCATTAGTGTTCCGACAGCAAAACCCTGACATACTTACCCATCTTTTTATCATTTATACTTGGCACACTGCAGAGTTTCCCATTAAGGAAGGATCATTTGACTTCTTTATAATGGCTGATTTAAAATAATAATAATAATAATAATGGGTGCCTGGATGGCTCGGTCAGGTAAGCCTCAGACTCTTGATATCCACTCAGGTCATGATCTCAGGGTCCTGGGATGCAGCACTGCACTGGGCTCCACACTCAGCAGGGAGTCTGCTTCTCTCTCTCTCTCTCTCTCTCTTTCTCTCCCTCTGTGCCCCGCCTCCACTCACACACACTCTCTCTCTGAAATAAATAAATAAATCTTTAAAAAAATTTTAAAATGTTTAATACTATTTACTGTAAGAATGATAACTGACCAGATTTTATAACTGTCTGTTCTCTTTTTATGTTTTCAACAGGTAACCCATTATTAAGCAGCAAAGTCAACATATTGATTAATGTCTTAGATGTCAATGAATTTCCTCCAGAAATATCTGTGCCATATGAGACAGCTGTGTGTGAAAATGCCAAACCAGGACAGGTATCTTATCAATATTGTTAACGGATAGCATATAAAGACCTACTATATGCATATGTTTCAGGGTAGAAGACCATAGATAAATGCATGTACACACACACATCGATACCTATATCAATATCAATACTGATAATGATAGATGGATAATTTTTCCCCTGGATCATATGTTTTCATAAAAAAAAAAAACCCACAAGAGATAGTAAACTCATAAATTAAGGGTGAATTTATGGATGTAGAAATAACATCCCAAGGGATAATTTGATGATGGCCTAGTGAATATTCTTCGTATAACTAAACAGTCTAGGATTGCAGATCTGCTACATTTTCTACTCCTTTACTGTGGACTTTTTATAGAATCTGTGACTATAAACCCAGTAAGCAAACAACTTTAGAGTGCATTCTTCTAGAATGTTTCTTGCTTTGCTCACATGTTTTATGAAGGGGTACAGAAGAGCTCTGTAGCCCATTAAAAATGTAAGGCTTCTTTCTCTGGTGGCCTTGAGTAGAACATCTGGGTTATTCAAAATCTCTGAATTACACTTTCCTTATTAAGTCAATATTGCTCTGGTTCTAGTGGGAGATGTCATGAAGGAGGACCACATGGTTATGAAAGTTACTGTCAAAATCCCAGATTTAATGTGAGTGGTGCTGGGTTGCCAGTTTTTTTTCCCTAGACTATTATAGATGAATGAATAAAATAATATAATGTTATAATGCGACATGATGATATAATATGATATGATATAATGAATGAATCAAGCATGGGCAAATGATGAGAGTATGTCATGAAATAAAAATATGATTAAACCAATACTGTGCACCTAGTTTCCAAAGGAAAAAGACGTCAGTATGCTTGCCTCGCTTTGTATTTTAATCACCTTTAAATAGCATAACTATTCATTTAAGTAAATTTGAAGTTTTAATTCTTACTGAAAAAAATCTTAATATTTAAAACAGTATCTTTTTTGAAAGAAGTTATTCCTTAATATTCAGTATTTGTTTCAATTTGAATGTTTTATACTGCTTTGTAGAAAAACTGTCCCATAACCCTAATCTTATGAAGTCCACTAGCTATGTAGCTATTAATTTAAAATTAAAAATCAGTGTTCTCATGCATACTAGCCACATTTTAGTTGCTCAATGGCTGTATCTACTAAGTGGCTACCATTTTTTGTCCATATAAATATAGAATATTTCCATCAGTGCAGAAACTTCTAGTGAACTGTGATGCTCTAATCCTTTCTCTGATAATTTGGGGAAAGTATTAAATTTATTAAAACCTGACTTATTTAGTCAGATTTCCCAATTGATAAATTTGCAACCTTAATTTTGAATAGATGCAGAAATGCATTAAAAATAAATTTTAAGCCTTTATCATTTAAATGTACCCACAATTTACATGGGATAAATCCAGTGCCTTCTTTAGTTCCTAAAAGAGTAGATGCTGCATAAATGTTTAAACAAATATTAAACCAATTTGGTTATTTGAGAAGTTACAAGAGGTTTTCTGAAATTCCACAACTTAGCAATTTCTCACTTTCCAGATCCCTCCACCCTCACCCCCAAAAACCCAACTCTCTATTTTTTTTAGTTAGGAATATTAATTATTTTATATCAGTAAGACTCTTGTAATGAACAAAATGAAAGTCCTTTCAGAAATAGAACTCCATTTGATGCTTCTCTGCTTGTCTAGTAAACTAAAGAGTTTGAAAAGTTGGGAAAAGTAGAAATGACCTGAGGTTTTCTTACATCTGGGCAGAGTGGTAAGCAATCTGTGAGGTCCTTGGAGGCTCTTTTTCTAATAAATACTTATTGGGTTTTCTACTGGGCCACATTTGTTACTGGAGTTTTCAGGGAGTGTGGTATGTGAGCATTTTCTGCTCTTGACCCCAGGCATTCTGCCCATTGTCTAGGAACTATGCATAGGAACTGTCTATCACTTCTGGCCTATAATTGAATATGTATGCATGCATATGTATGTATTTTTATATGCATGTATGTGTTATCTATCAAGAGACAAAAGAGAAGAGAGAGAAAGATGATGCTATCTAAATCAACAGTGATATATACAGTGAATTCCTGAAGTATGAGAGTTTTTTTTTCCTTAGGGCAATGACTCTCAAGTGTCAATTCCAGATAAGTGCCTGTTTTTACTAAAACTTTCTTCTCTGTCTGCTGTTTGAAAGGACATTGCTTCATTCTAAAGTTATGTTCTTGGTATTTTTTGATGTTAAATAACTTTAATTTGGTAAATTGTTATGCTTGCTGATAGTAGTTAAAGGCAAAACAAAACAAAGCACCTGGTAACCCAATCCCCTGATAATTTAGAGAAAACGTATGGATGGGATAATAGTGATATGACTGAGCATATGAGTTTATGTGAAGTTATCTAAGTTGAAGTTTTATAGAATTGTGACTGATTCACAGTGAACCAGGGAACCGAAATTCTCATTAGAAAACCAAGTTGTCAAATTAGAAATTACTAATATGGCGCCAGGCCCTCGAAGTCACAGTAGATACACTTATGTGTGAGTGTGTGATTTTGTATGCGTGTGTACTATGGGGACATAGATCATAGTAATAAGATTGAGTTTTAGCCATGGAATGAAAACAAAAAGTAGTAAGTAAATCACATATAGAACACATGATGTGTGCTTTTGCCCACTGTGACAAAGACACAGTACTTGAAATAAAAGGTCTTCCTCTGACAAATTCAAATTTTGCCTAAGAAAGTGATCACCTGAGCACGACTCTGCTCTCACTCTCTTCTACACCCATTTCCTGAAATGCTTTCAGATTCAAAGCCATTGGATATGTTAATAAAATACAACCTCAAAGCTATTATAATTTGCTTATCTATATGGTGAATTATCAATTTCACAGTTTGGCTCTCAGAAGTTGTTTTTACTCTCCAAATTCTTAAGGGCATTTTCTTGAAATATCAGAATTTTAACTGCTAAACACACAACCTATGGGAAGTGATTTAGGAAAAATTTTGAAACTGGGTTGTTATAGTGCTTCCTTCTTTAAAAAACTTTATGAAAATACATTTAGTATTCTTGCTCATTGGGGGAAAACAAATATAAGGACAAAACCAGATATACATCCTTTGTATTTCTCTTTCTCATCATTTTATTTATTTATGAAAATAAAACTCATTCTCACAAATAAAACTATACTAAAATTTTGCTATCGCAAGGGCTTTTAAATAATCAGAGATTTTCTTTCCAGGAAGCATTTTCATATTTAGGTTAGAAAGCATTTATATTATTTAGTTTAAAATGCAAGCAAGTGCATTTTAATTTTATTTTGCTTTTTAGTGAGAATTTTCAATGGTGTTAAGCTTTTTTAGTTATGCAGATATTGATTTGGAATTCGCCCATACCCTATAATTGTACCTGCCATTATGAACTGTAAATGTTTAGATATGTGTTCATAAAAATCATTTGTAAATAATTGGCTCACTGATATGAATCCTAGAAATGTCATTTCTATCTCCTTGCATGCATCATTGGATAAACTTATTAGTCTGCTGTATGTAAAGTTCCCTTTGAAACTCATGACTGACTTCAAGTTTCATCTCAACTTTGTTTCAGATAATTCAGATAGTCAGCGCTGCAGACCGAGATCTTTCACCTGCTGGGCAGCAATTCTCCTTTAGATTATCACCCGAAGCTGCCATCAAACCAAATTTTACAGTCCGTGACTTCAGAAGTAAGTTTAACCCCATAAAAAAGAAAAAAACCTCTTATCATGTAACTTTGTAAAAGGACACAAAGGTAGAAATCAATGTTTTTCTAAAAGCACTCAATTTCATAAAATATGGAAATCCATATACGAAAAATACAAAATTCTATAGCTAGCAGTAAATTAAATATTTAACCTATATAGTTTGTATCTAATGAGGCAAATTGCTTCCATTTATAATGTGGACAGTCCCTTAATGTGTCAAGCAAAACCGGCCTATCTGGGAAATTGAATGCTTTCTATGTTTTAAATATATCATTTGTTCCACATGCACATTACTTGTACAAACAAGTCGGTAACTTCTTAGTAACTGGTTTATTTGAATAACACAGAGCACAACACAGGTTAAGAATACAGGCTTTGTAATTAGAATAACAAAGGTTTTCCTTCCCACTCCATTATGTCCTCAATGGCAGATTCTCAGTGTATTAAGTTAAACTGAATAATTTTAAACTCCTAGTCGAACTGAATCAGCCTCATAGTATTTATATTAAATAAAATAATGCATGCAAATCCTTTAACACAATACCCAAAGTGATTTTAGTTGCCACCTCTACTATCATATCTGCACTTTCGTATCTACCACCAATGTTACTACCATCATCACCACTGTTACTGCTACTAATACCATCACATCTGCTACTGTTACACTCACTACAAAAATACAATGGACACTAGATCACAAATATTAAAGCTAAGCACTGGTCAGTCGTTCTGAAACTATTAATTCTGTGACTTGAGGATATTTTATCCCTTCTGTTTCCATAGTTATGAAATTGGGATTAGAATCACCTGAGCTCATAATATTGGATAGTAAAAAGCTAATTTCTTACTAAATTCTATGCTTATAGAACGAATGAACCAATTGTGATGAGATAATGATGATGATGATGATGATGATGATGATGATGGACAGAAGTCAAAGGATGTCTGAGTACATTTACTTTTCTGCAAATATTTAGAGGAAAGAAAGCAGACATTTTGTCATAGAAAGAGATTCAGTAGGATTTGCTTCATCTGATAATGTAATGCGAGGGATGACAGTAAATGCAAGAGGGTCCCAAATATGAAGAGCCTTATAAGTAGAGAGACCACATATTTTTTTTAAGATTTTATTTATTTATTTGAGAGAGAAAGAATGAGACAGAGAGAGAGCATGAGAGGGGGGGAGAGTCAGAGGGAGAAGCAGACTCCCTGCTGAGCAGGGAGCCTGATGCGGGACTCGATCCCGGGACTCCAGGATCATGACCTGAGCTGAAGGCAGTCGCTCAACCAACTGAGCCACCCAGGCACCCGAGAGACCACATATTTTGCTATGAAAATTAGAACACTTTGGAGAATAGAAGTGGACAATATTAGTAATTTTAATTAGAACAGCTCACATAAAATAGGGCTATCCAAGACAAATCAGACTATGTGGTCACCCTAACTACAAGCCATTTGAAAGGATTATAACTTAAATCCAATGACTTCAGAAGTCTTTGAAAGATTTACAAGAGCATAGTATGTTCAGATTTGCATTAGGAAGATCAGTTTGGTTGTAGCACGGAAAAGATAATAGGAGGATATAGGATTACTTCTGATGCTATTGCAGGAGTGGGTGAGAGAGAATTAGATTAAAGTAATGGCAAATGGAGACATGTGGATAGAGATAGAATCCATAGGGCTTGATGCTAGATTGCCTAGATTCCATGTGTAAATACAATGGAGAAGACTAATCAGACTTCCAGATCCCTGGCTTGGGCAACAAGGTCGATGGTCACATCATTCAGGAACATAATTTGACTGTTTCCCCATTGTATCTTTGCTGGAGAAACTATATCCGATTAATCATGATAATATGAATCAGATCATTTTGCCTTATAGCATAGTGTTTTCTCACAATTTGAATATTGTTTGCTATTCATATGCCATTTACTATATTCTCTATTTTATCTTAAGTTATATTTTAAGTAAGTGTAAGTTTTTAAAAACTGAATAGAAATCTTTTTTTCACTTCACATATTTACCTTTTTAAAAAAACTTTTCCCCCTGGGGGTTTAAATTCTGCTCACTTAGCAAATTTCGATCAACTATAGTCACCATGTTATACATTAGATCCTCAGGCTTTATTCATCTTATAATTAAGAATCTGTATCTTTTTTACCAATCTTTCCCCATTTTCTCCATACTCGGCCCCTGACAACTGCATTTCTACTGTTTTTAGAAGTTCCTTTTTTTAAAAAAATCTTTTTTAGATTCCCCATATAAATGTTACCATGTGCAGCATTTCTCTTTCTCTGTCTGGCTTATATCACTTAGCATAATGCTCTCCAGGTTAATCCATGTTATCATAAATGGCAATATTTCCTTCTTTCTTATAGCCTAATGATACTCCATTGTGTGCATATATGTTTATGGTTTGTATGATATATATTAACTTTACCTGTTCTTCAGTAGAAACTATTTTAAGAGTGGACATGAGGTTTAATATCTTTTTTTCCCACCGTGAACAGCACAATGAATTTTTTATGGCCATATATCAATAATAAGAATATATTGAAAATACAGTAATCCCCTCTTTTCTGTTGAGGGATATGGTCCTAGACACCCAGTGGATGCCCAAAACCAAAAATCCTGTGAGAAAGGGTATTCCTGTGAGTGCTAGGCTTCCTGCGATTAGTGAGGTGGTAGTGAATGGCAGTACCACGTATGGTACTGAACCCTGTGTGTATATATATATATAATAGATAGATAGATAGATAGATAGATAGATAGATAGATAGATAGATATAATATTTTACTATACACACATACCCTATGATAATGTTTAATTTATAAGTTAGACACAGTAAGTAATTAACAGCAATAATAATAAAATAGAACAATTGTAACAATATGCTCTCATAAAAGTTATGTAAATATGATCTCTCTCTTTCTTGAACTATTTTGTATTGTACTCACCCTTCTTATGATGATGATGTAAAATGATAAAATGCTTACGTGATGAGATGAAATCACCTTTGGACCGTACATCAGAAAGCGGATCATCTCCTTCCAGGCCAAGTTTGACTTGGGGCAACTGAAATCAGAGAAAGTAAAACCGTGGATGGGGGGAGGGGGCTACTGTAAACATAAAAGAATAGGAGGCCTTTTGATATAATATGTTCAGGAACATTGAATCCATGACTCCTCAAGTGCAAATATATCAGCTTTTCCAAACCCCTACTTTTATTAATAATTTTCACCTAGATTTCAAATTATTTACTAAATATTTGTAGTAAATCCTGACTGTTCCTTTTCCTCAGACTCAAGTATTCAGTCAGCTGCTGAAGATTTCAATGTGAATTCAATTAGCCCCCATTTTTTTATTCCTACTGTCATCATAAGTACCCAGCATTACTAAGTCTCATTGGGAATATTATAATTGACATTTGGCATCTTGATATTTAGTTTTTCAATTTTTTTTTTAAAGATTTCATTTATTCATTTGAGACAGAGAGAATGAGAGACAGAGAGCATGAGAGGGAGGAGGGTCAGAGGGAGAAGCAGACTCCCTGCTGAGCAGGGAGCCCGATGCGGGACTCGATCCCGGGACTCCAGGACCATGACCTGAGCCGAAGGCAGTCGCCTAACCAACTGAGCCACCCAGGCACCCTTTTGTTTTTCAATTTGAAAAATTTCTTCTATGTAATAATAAATCATCTTCCCATGTAAAACAGTCATATCAAGTAAAGTTTTCTCAACTTCGTGCTTCTATTGAAATGAGTCTAGAGAAGCTGCCTAATTTTTAGTTGTTGAATCTAGAATATACAAAGAGATGAATGGCATTTTATTGAGATAGTAACATTTTTCTGAAATACCTGTATTTTAATGAGTAATATATATTTTTAAAATTAGTTTCCTTGATTCCAAAGTGGATATCATATATGGCTATAATAAATTAAATATTAACATGTTTTTTAAAATAGCAAAATATAATGGGCACCTGGGTGGCTCAGTTGGTTAAGCGACTGCCTTCAGCTCAGGTCATGATCCTGGAGTCCCGGGATCGAGTCCCGCATCGGGCTCCCTGCTCAGCAGGGAGTCTGCTTCTCCCTCTGACCCTCCCCCCTCATGCTCTTTATCTCATTCTCTCTCTCAAATAAATAAATAAAATCTTAAAAAAAATAAAATAAAATAGCAAAATATTTCTAGGAGTTACTTTAATAGACAAAAAAATGAAATGGTGTTATGAATAAAACCAAATTCCCACTTCTATGTGTAGGAATAAAAGAAGTAAAGAAAAAATGTGTGCAAAATAATACTTTCAATAGTAGTATTAATTGCATTTATATAAAATTTAAAATATTTATTTTTTTGAATCATTCTAAGTAAATATTGCTATTGTTGATTTTGTCAGAACTAAAATGAGTTATTTTTGTACTTATATTAAAATAGTGATTATTATAATTTATTATGTTTAAAATTTTTAATGAATCTTGATGTTTTTAACCACTTTATTTTCCATTTCTCTTATACTAACTAATGTACAAAAGTAAAAGATATTATATACATATACGCATATATACATATACATGTACAAAAGTGAACGCTATATATATATATACATATATGCGTATGTAAATATATATGTATAAAGTGTACATATTTTTTTTACCATATATATCATAGATATAGATCTGGGAAAAATAAAAAATCAAATGCTAAACTGATTTTGTTGTCTTTTAAAGAACAAGTTCATAGGTGAGATATTTTACAGACTCATGCTTTGTAATCTCTGGTCTTCCATCATGTAAGAAAACACCCACAGATGTATTTTTTTTCTCAATGAGATTTCAATGTTAAAAAAAAAAAAAGTGGGTCAACAGACACACACACAAATGGGTCAACACAAAATACTTCTAGTCTTATAAACAGTTTTATATTCTTTCTGAATTAAAAATTTAATTCTTACACCAGACAAGATTAACGTTTCTTCTTTTCCTAAGGATTATTTTGATTACATTTGGCAGCTTTCATAATAATACAAGAAAGAATTAAAATATGGATGCATTTTTGCTGATGCAAGAAGAGCTTCCTACTGTTTAACCGATACCAACTTTCAAATTTGAAGCGAAGCTTTTAGTAACTCTCTTATCACAAATGTCATGTTTTGTAGACAACACAGCTGGAATTGAAACCCGAAGAAATGGATACAGGCGTAGGCAGCAAGAGATGTATTTCCTTCCTGTTGTAATAGAAGACAGCAGCTATCCTGTGCAGAGCAGCACCAACACAATGACTATTCGAGTTTGTAGATGTGACTCTGATGGTACCATCCTGTCTTGTAATGTGGAAGCAATTTTTCTACCCGTGGGACTCAGCACTGGGGCTTTGATTGCAATCCTACTGTGCATTGTTATACTCTTAGGTTGGTTTCAGTATTAATCACGTATTCTCTCTCTCTCTCCATCTCTCTCTCTCCTCTGTGCCTCTCTCTTCACAATTTACCATGTAAATCAGGTTTTTTTTCATTGAGGTTTTGACCTTCATTGAGATGTCACATCTGGATAGAAGGAAAATTATCTATATTGAGTGATATTTTTATTAATGTTAAATTTCTATTTACTATCTCATGTCTATATACCATTTGGAATAAATAAATAGCATCAGAACACAAAACTATGTTCAACCCCTTGGAGATTTTAACTAATAACAGTTTGTTGCACTTGCCACAGTGAAATTTTCTGTAACAAATATCCCATTTACAGCAGTGGGTTTTTTTTAAGTGTTTTTTTAAAAAAATTCATTTTACATTCCAGTAATTGTTGTTCCCTAATAAGATATTATATAAATCTTTAAAAATATACTAGATGATCAGTAGCTTTCAAATGCCAGTTCAATAAAGGAAGAAAAGAGAAAGAACAGGAAAAGAGTGAGAAAGTGAAAGCACCCCCAAATTTTCTTTTTTTTTTGTTTAAAATGCCAGCCGAAAACAGTTCTTATTCCAGTTTTCTCACATCTCACATCAAAATTCTAACCATTACCCCTAGAACACAACACACAAATATCTAGAAGCCCTGCAAAGAAAAAGGACGGAGGTAATACATTCTGTAACATCTCTGTAAGAATTAATATAAATCTACTTTAGGGGTTTCGTTCTCCCATTAGTTCTGTTCAGCTGGCTCCCTTCACTTATTAATTCACCGGCAGATTCACAAGACCAGAGAGAGCTTTTCTGTTTTGCCAGTCATTTCTTTAAATTCAAATGGCAACAGATTACAATTGGGCATTGTGGAATCCGTTTATATATGCTTCACAAATGTAGATGCATACATTTATCTTAAGATAGGAAATAACAACAACAACAACAAAAAACTAGGATGTAAGGCATCGAGTAAGGCATCATATCATAGTTTATGGAGAACATTCTCCAAGTCAGAAACTCATGTTAGTTTGGAGATTGAAGTTCTAGTGCGATTTTAATGGTATAGGGTACTAATTCCACATAAGTAAGTTTGGTATCCAGAAAAAAAAAAGTTTCCTTTCTATCCTTATAATTTATAAGTTACCTCTGGCATCTGTGCTGTTGATACGAACCTTAGAAGGCAGGATTCAGAATAATATTCTCACATCTGAAATTGAACACCATCAATTAGTTGTTTAACCTCAAATCCAATGTTACTTTTTCATGCTTCTCTCTTGTCTAGGAGCCACCTGAGTCCCAGATCACATCAACCTAGCATGACTTGGCATGTTCTGGGCACTCACCTTTGGCTTCTTTGGCCCTTTTACAGTGTAGCGAGTAATCTTGCTCCGGTCAGCAGCAGCATGTGCCTCCATCTGTCAGTCATTTCTCCAGATGCTCACTGAGGGTCCACGGTGCGCTTGCACACTTCTAGCATGTGAACTTTCCAGGATACAGCAGGGGGTGGTGGCCCTATTTGTCCTGCCATGGGGTGTACTTAAAACCCAACTATTCTTGGACTTCCTTAACCAATCTCAGACTCCTTCAGATCTTTCCTTAGCCATTTTCATAGCTTTCCTGGGAGGAGGGAAAGCAAGAATATCTTGTGGGGTCTAGGTATCTTGTAGGGGGTCCTCAGGTACATCAGTTAGAAGTGCCTTCTCAGCCAGAGCAGGTCCAAAGCCATTTTATATGCAAGGCATCTCGATGAGGCTTCCAGTTTCTCACTCACTCTCTGGGTGAGCAACAGTCTTTTTAGATTTTGGATTTCCCTAAATGCTAGGAGGAGTGCAGAGGGCTAAACATTTCTTCAAGGCCTATTGTACAGAAGCTCTACCTATATCTCCTCCCTCCTTCCAGTTGGTCAAACTTTAATTTTGGAGGAAGAGGGAATAAATGAGCTCTCATCATCACTCAATCTTCTCAAATTTCTAATCGTATGATGAGAGTTTTCCAGACCCTGCTGTAGTAAATCAAACACACTTTGTCTTTCAACCTGTTGCCACCTCTGTGGAGGAGAGGGGTTTTTATGATGAGCAAAACTGAGCACTGACTTCATCATTTGAATCTGTGCCCATTCACTTCTAGAGGAAATAAACCCTTTCTTTTTTTTTAGATTTTATTTATTTGTTTGAGATAGAGATAGTGAGAGAACACGCAAGCGCTCGCATGCAAGGACTCATGCTTGAGCGAGGGGGAGGAGCAAAGGGAGAGAGGGAAGTAGGCTCCTTGCTATGCAGGGACCCTGACACGGGGCTCAATCTCAGGACCCCCAGATCATGCCCTGAGGTGAAGGTAGACACTTAACTGAGCCACCCAGGCACCCCGAAATAAATGCTTTCAATTTAACAGATTGCTGTGCATCAACTAGGAACAAAAATAGATTTACATTATGAGAGTATATAAATTATTTCAAAATTTTATCATGCTTCATGAACGTAAACTGAACACTAGCATTTGGTTTGGAAAATATCTCAACATGGCAGGACACAGAATTGAAATAATTAGAGGTCTTGGTTGACATGATTTATAAAACTAAGGCCCTTATATTCTACACTCTTCTTTCCTTCCTTTCTCCTTTCCTTCCTTCTTTTCTTCCTTCTCTTTTTAAAATTTATTGCTTTTAAAAGTTATTGTCACATGAAGATTTGGATTTATTTCATTAGAAATATAAGTGTTGCAACTGGGAAATCTAGCTATGAATAATATGTGTTATTTATGGGCTATAATATTCAAGTTTTATTATACCAACACTATACAGCTCTCTATATGCTTAGAACAACCATTCTTTTAAAAAATTTGTAACACACACTTTTTAACTGATACCAAAATATTAAGATATAATATAAATTAAATATAAGACTGTAATTGCTTGATTTTGTGAATAATTTTGCTAAGATTTGTTAGCTACAATTTCAAAATGAAGTTGCATAAGCATAGATATGATCCTTATTGTATAATATATTTACTTTGAAAATAATGTGTTGGCAAGCCCTGATCAATTTTTTGGAGATGTGAACTACAAATTCTCAACTTGCAATTTTTGTCTTGTTCTAGCCATAGTTGTGCTGTACGTAGCTCTGCGAAGGCAGAAGAAGAAAGACACTCTAATGACCTCTAAAGAAGACATCCGAGACAACGTTATCCATTACGATGATGAAGGAGGTGGGGAGGAGGACACCCAGGCTTTCGACATTGGTGCTCTGAGAAATCCGAAAGTGATTGAAGATAACAAAATTCGCAGGGATATAAAACCAGACTCTCTCTGTTTACCTCGTCAGAGACCACCAGTGGAAGATAACACAGACATACGGGATTTCATTAATCAAAGGCTACAGGAGAATGATGTGGACCCAACTGCCCCACCATACGATTCATTGGCAACATATGCGTATGAAGGAAATGGATCAGTAGCAGACTCCCTTAGCTCTATAGACTCTCTCACCACAGAAGCGGACCAGGACTACGACTATCTGACAGACTGGGGACCCCGCTTTAAAGTCCTGGCAGATATATTTGGTGAAGAAGAGAGTTATAACCCTGATAAAGTCACTTAGGGTGGAAGCGAAGGATAAAACACAACCAAAATGAGACATTTAAGAAAAAGAAACACAAATAGAAATCACAGACACACACACACACACACACACACACACGCACACACACACCAGGCTTTATAGGACACAATCCTTTGATTATCTGGTTTCTAGCAAGTTGCTGTATTTATCATATTGTCAGTTTTGTTTTATTCTGCCGACACAAGATAAATCCTATTATGTGTACTTGCTTGATTTTGTTTTGTTATTTTGGAAACACACTGAGACAAGCTCAGGCCTATTAAATACAATTTACTGACATGACAACATAGAACGAAGATAGCTATGTGGCATCACGGTGGAAGAGTGTTAGGTTTTTCTTAATTCCACTAAAGTGCCTCTTGAAACTCTTATCATTTAAAATGGTGTATCATACACTCTGCTGTGATGACATTGCAGGATTCAGAGATACAGAGGACAGAAAACAAAGACGCTGTCTTTGTCAAGGAACAATAGCAACATGCTGACTTCTAATTCCTTCTGAGGAAAAGAGAACACTTTCTGAACTCCATCTTCTTATAATTCAAAGGTTTTTTTTTTTTCTTTTTTAAACTGTATGCCAAAACATATTTGTTTTTCCTACCCTTTCAGAAAATTGAAATAAACGCGATAATATGAAATTCATTATGTAAGTCCTGAATTTTAAAAGCAATGTTTGACCTTAACATTAGTTCACATTAAAGGTGTTCAGTAAAATGTTCCTTTGTTTCCAAAAAAAATTTTAAAAAAAGGAAATAAAAAAAAAATTCCCTCTGGATAAAGAGAGGCCTCAGGGCTGAAACTCCACACTAAAATAAATACTGGTTTTGTCTTCATACTGTGCTGGTGTGTGGAAAGTTGGTTTTAACAAATCATCAGATTATGAAAGTTTTCAGTCACAGATGAAATTTTTAAGTTGTGTTTCTATGAAATTTTTTAAGGAAAAAAGTGCCATTAATTTAAACGCGGGAAAATTCATTACATAGCTTCTCAGAGTTTCATATAAACCAGTGATTTTTTTGTCAACTAAGACAATAAAATGCTTATCAAATAATACAGGATGGATTTATAACATCTCTAAAAATATTTATTATATACTACTAAACAAATGAAAAATCAGGGATTTCAGAAAAATCAAACCAGTTACTAATTACTAAAATAAACACAAATGCAAAATCAGGCAGTTGATTTATTTATTGAATTAACATGGACTTCAACTTTGGAAACATTATTATTATATTAGATCTCACAGTTGCTGCTTCATGCGATCATCTACACTAATTCAACTATAAATGATTCCATACAACTCCTGTGCTCTGTAAATAAATTTTACTTTTTAATTTGATGCAGATTTCTGAAAACTGTTAGATTTTATAAGCCTACAAGTAAACTACACTCATATACTTTACTCTCCAGTGAACTGTACACTATCTAGAAATGCACTTAACGAAACAGGTAACTATGAAGTGATAATATATTTTCTTAATAATATAATTATACAAATGACTACTGAACTTTTGAGACTATCTGTAGGAAAAAATAAAGGTTGCTTAAAAGATCCATCCTGAAAATGTGGTCAAAACCTAGCTGTATTTATGAAATATGTATGAATATATTTATATTTGCAAAATTGCAAAAGAATTCACACATGGGAAAAATGGGTAGAAATATGGATAGAATAGGCAAATTATAGTCAGTCCTATTCATTCTTAAGGCTTACTTCAAATATGTGTTAGTGATAATTATGAGGTGGCAATTTGGCTGTTTGCATTTGCAGTTCACATCCCTGTTTTGGTGTCACAGAGTTGAACACTTTCCTTGTTTCCCCTCACAGGAACAATTACTGACCTTCCTCTCACCACCCAGATTTTACTTGTGTCTCATCTCTGGGAACTGCATTAGAATATTCATGTAGTGTAATAATTCGCAGCATAACACGCTTTGGGAAATATTTATGTAATTTTTAAAAACCTGGCAATGTCATAACCATACTGGAAAAAAAAGTGAAGGCAACTTCTGCGTTTGTCCTAGCAACACGATTTACTATGCAGTGATGTAGGACCCCTTGAAGAAGGTTAATATGCAAGATCAATTCCAGCTGACAACATGGTTCTTCTCAGGAGCTACTGCATTTTGTATCTTGGTCTAACTGCTCTGCATGTAGTCATATATAGGAAGCGATGATGGTAAAAAGAACACTTGGGAAGGGCAGGTCATTGCAAACCCCATGACTGAGATGCTAAGCAAAAAGGTGAAATTGGTGAGTCTTGCTTTTACCAAACTAATAAGCTTTTGTTCTATACTTCTATCTTTTATTTTTGCTACACCACTGCAGTAGGTTGTTAAAGCTGCCATGACAAAGTACCACAGACTGGGTGGCTTAAACAACAGAAATTTATTTCCCTTGTGGTTCTGGAAGCTAGAAGTCCAAGATCAAGGTGTCAGAAGAGTTGGTTTCTTCTAAAGCCCTCTCTCCTTGGCTTGTAAATTTTCTTTCTCCTTGGCTTGGCCATTTTCTGTGTCTTCATATGGTCTTCCCTCTGTGCTAATTCCTCTTCTTCCAAAGGCACCAGTCATACTGAGCCCACTCACATGACCTCTTTTTAACTTAATTTACTCTTGAATGCCCTATCTTTAAACACAGGCATATTATGAGGTACTCGTGATTAAGACTTCAAAATATCAATTTTAGGGGGACCCAATTCAGCCCCTAACAGCCACACAGATGTTAACAGCAAATAAAATATATATATATATTTTATGTAATATATTTTATGTATATATTTTATGTAAATTATATGTATATAATTTACAACAAATGAACAAAGAAATGTGAAAAGAAATAACTTCAAATGGAAATAGTTTCAGGGACAGTAGGAAATCAGAGAAGTGATATGGTGAAAAGAGGTCTCTCAGTGCTCATAAATTAGAATTATTATGGTTTATCTTTTAGACTATTCAATACTTACAAAATCTTTTTCAATTTTTTAAATTTTTAAATCTTTAATTTTTTAAAAAAAAATTTAATAAACAGTCCCTGGCCTTCATTCAGGAATTAAACAATATTTAAAAAGGCTTAGAATTTACATGGGGAATTTTGGTTATTAATAATAATCATACAACACTTCTTAATTACGTTACAGATCATACAACACTTCTTAATTATGTTCCAGATTTACCTTTACAGAAATATATGTACATATTGTATGTAACATATGTATGTAATATATATAAATATATTAAATGCAACATTTGTGCTCAAAAAAGTATTTCATCACTACCTAAGAGTGAAACAGTGTAATATACTAAAAATAATTTAAAATTGCTTTAGTAGCACATTCTATCCCTAACTGGAAATGTACTATGGGGCAAGGACCTTTGCCTCCATGGTCTATTCTCTTTAGAAAATTAATTTGTTGCCCTTGGTGCTATCGAAGTTTCTTCTGTGATATCTTGATGCTTAAGTTCTAGCTACAATTACATGAAGTGTATTAAATCATTTGCATATTGATTACATAAAATTATGAGAATCGTAGAGATCTTCAAGATAAAATTAAAAATCTTTGAACTATGGTTTGGACTAATTATGCATTGGCTCTCCATGTACCACATATGGAGAACCAGGCAAATGTTTCTTAAGTCATACTTGTCAAAATTCTCAGCAAAACAATGGTAGAATGCATAGAAAGAGAAAGATCCTGAGCCAAAGAGGAAAAACAAGTGATGGGAAGAAAAGATTAGAAGGGTGTGTCTGTCATTCTTTGTCTTTAAGAGGAGGATATTATAGAAATCCTTGGAAAAGTTTTAGTGGCTAATGTATTAAAATGGGAATTTTTAAAAACAGGTATAAGAATGCAGGTATATTTGAAGTGGGCCCCAAACTATGACTAGGTGTGAAAAGAGTTACTAAGATGTCAGTAACAACATCAGTCTGCTTCCTAAGAAAAAAAGGAGTGGGAAGGAGATAATTTTATGACCCCATGTTTGAAAACTTCTCTTCCTCCTCCCCTAATTCATAGTTTAGCGAGCTACACAATTCTCATTTGGATTTTTTTTTTTTTTAATATTTTGGAGGTGTTTTCTATCATACTCTGGCATCCAACCCAGGTGATGAAATAAAGGGATGAATGTATCGCTCCTTCCTTTTATGTGATATGAATTTTTTCATGATGATATTCAGACTTCTTCTTATCTTTTGTGTTATGAAATTTCACACTAATGTATCAAGATGAGTCTTTTATCATTCTTAGGACTATACACCCAGGGTGTCCTTTCAAGATGGAGCCTCAGATTCTTCAGTTCTGGGAGATTTTTTATATTTATTCTCTGATGGGTTCCAACTCTGTGTTTTCCCATTCACTCTTTGTGTGATTTTTAATAGTTGGTTTGATGTCCTGGATTTAAGAATTAATCACATTATCTTTTAACCATCACTATCTTATATTTTTATCCAGTTTTCATGATTACCTTTTCATCTCTGTCTTCCAGTTCTTTTTTTTTTTTTTGTCTTCCAGTTCTATTGATAAACTTTCCAGTGATATTTTTTCTGATTTCAGGATCTTAGTCATGTTGTGTTGTTCTGTTCTGTCACCTTCTTGTTATTCTGCTCTTGTTTTTAGATAGTTTGTTTCTTTACTCCCTCTGATAATGTTAATTTTAGCCCTTTTAAATAACTTTTTTTTTCCCTCTGAAATGGTTGTATCAAATAGAGTAGGGGCAAGAGTGATATAGACATTCATTTTAGTTAATTATATTTTGATTCATATCTTGTTCTAGTTCTCTGCCATATTTGATATGTCCTAGTCCTAACACATTCCAGGACTATGATGAGAAGACAAGGTCTCTCCTGTGCTGCCACACTGGTTCTCTAGTCTGCAATTTTATACTTAGTTTCATTCATCACCATTCCATTAGCCTTCTAATAGTTTACCCAAAATGCTGGCCTGCTAATAGGCAATATGCCATTTCTCTTTTGTTGTGGGGATGCAGACATACAAACACACACAAATAAATACACATGCACATATGTAGAATTTAGAAATATTTTTCTATAGAGAAATGATATTTGTATCTCTATAGAGAAATAACATATTATTTATAAATATATATATATATTCCCTTATCATTAAGTTATGTAATCATTATAACTTCGTATCAGCATGAAAGGAACTTACATATATAAATGTAATCAATCATAATGACCCAAAATTTGAAAAGAAAACTGGTAATTTTTTCTTATAGCCATTATTATAAGGCAGATGAATTTAGTTTATATATGTACACATGCACATATACACGCATATAAACACAAATATATATATATGTAATTAGATGGTTGATAATTCCAATTTGCAGTAAGTTTAGATTGCCATTTAATTCCTTTATTCAAGTCCCTTATATTCCTTAGTGTAATGGATTTTCATAACAGTCATATTCACTAAATTTCTCAAAAGAACCTTAATAGGAATTTAATTGTATTTTTTAACTTCACATTAAAGAAATAGAAGGTAAGAATATCCAAACAACTTGTGCAAAACCCAGAGTTAGTAACCTAATGGGTGGCAAAGCTCTTAAATTGTGAAGTTTAAGTAAATCTAATCTGGACTTCTATTTTGGGGTTCTTTCTACTCTTTCT